AGCCCATGTCCACAGCTCGGTTCCACTCCAGGCTGGGCTGGGGGGGGGGGTCCATCTAATGGAATGGGGTTGCCAGGCAGGATCCACTCAAGGTTGGGCGGGCACATACATGGCTGGGCTCCTCTGTCTCTGGACTCAAATGAAGCCCTAGACCGAAGGGCAGCTGCTGCCTTGGGTTTTCTCCAGACAAGTGACCACTGCTGCCCTCCCACCCTCAGCCCCTGCATGTGGCTCCCACAGTGGGTATCCTCAGAGATCAAACAGAAACAAGTGGCGCGGCTGATCCTCCCCAGTTCTAGGTTCAGGCTGGACGGCTGCTGTCCCACTCATTGTCACCACTGTCCATCACCCTGACCCGGGGCCCTAGACCCTCCCTGCCTGCACCTGGCGGCCACTCAAAAGTGATGCCCAGTGCTGGGGGGCCTGGGCCCAGTGTGGACCTTGTGTCTGACAGCCCTCACCCAGCAGGATGCCTGCCAGGGCTCTTTGTGGCTGGGTTGTGCTCTGAGCGTGTGGACAGCTGTGGTGTGCTTGCCCACTGCCTGTGGTGGGCATTAGGGTTGTTTGCACCCCCTGGCTACTGCTTCCAGACTTCGGAGGCACTGGCCATGGCAGACTGGCTGGGTCATCTGGTCCTCTGGGCATCTGGCCCTCTCACCAGCTCCTCCACATCCTTGCCAGCATTCAGCAGCACCCACCGCCTGGGTCCTGTGAACCGGCATCTGAATGCAGGTGAGAGACGAGGCCGGGAAGGGAAGGGCTGAGCCTGTCCTGCAACTCCACACCGCACACCCACCATCTTCAGCCCCAGGTGGGAGCTGAGCTGGGGAGGGAGCTCAGAAGGGCGGGGCTGGCAGTCGAGCAGGAAGTGATGTCGCAGCAGGTACTGGAGGCTGAGGGCTGCCAAAGACTGGGGTGGGGAGGGCTGGCCTAGCTGAGGAACAGAAACAGGCCCTGAGCCACCGGCAGAGTGAGCAGTGGGGCTTTGGGGCCAGCTAGGGGGGAACCGCGCAGGCCTTGGCCAGCAGTGAGCGGGGAGCTGCTGGGGCCCAGGAGATACCACTCCAGGGGGGGCAATAGGGTTCTTGCCTCCATGCAGAAGGCTTGGGTTCGAGTGCTGCTCAGTACACCCATGCGCAGCCACACCCATCCGCCAGCGGAGACATGGGCATTGTCCAGACGCAGCCCAGGTTCACACAGAGCTTGCAGGCAGAGATGGACTAGGAAGAAAAGCCTGGTGACCTCCTGATGTCTGTCCGTGATGACCCTGTGGACCACTTCTTAGGCTGAGGGGGCACAGGCCCCCATGAGTCAGGTCCCCCCAATAGCAGCTCCAACAACAGCCAGCCAGCCGCCCCCACACAGCCAGCCTCGCTCTGACAGACTCAGGCCAGTCTCTGCCCGTCTACACCCAGGGCCACCTTCCGAAGCGGCCCCATCGCCCCCACCCCAGGCCCTGCCCCTATGGCGCACCGTCTGCTCTCACCCCAGGGCCCAAGTGTGGTTTAATCCTCACTGTTGGTTGGACCCTATGCCAGGAAGCAGCAGTGAGCATCTGAGAGTCTGTGGCTGTGCTCCATTTCTCCTGGTGCGTACTGAGTGACCAAATGGTGGGGGCCCACTGTAGAACTCACTGTCATGGAGCCAATTCCACTCCTAGTGGCCCTGTCATCCAGGAAGTGCCCCTGTGGGTTTCTGAGGCTGTGAACCCTTAGAGGGGCAGACAGCCTCGTCTGTCTCCTGTGCAGCAGCTGCTGGGTTTGAACTGCTGACCTTGTGCTTAGCAGCCCAACGCACCACCCGCCAGGCCAGCAGGGCTCCCTGGTTTGTCCTCTTAAACTGCTGTGAGCAGCGTCCCGTGTGTTGGGGTTCTCGATAGCCTGTAGTTTCACGGAGGGTCTTTATAGTTCTAGGGCCCCGCGTGCCTTTTGATGCCATCACCCTTCTCTCCCCGGGTGGGAGAGACCAGCGTGTGCACCTTGATGGCTGCTCGCTCGCTCCGAAGACCCGTCACTGCTCACTGCAGTAGTTGTCACGCACTGTCTTTGTGGGTGGCACCGCGATGCCAGCTGACCTGAGCCATGGCCTCACTCACTGCCATCAGTCGATTCTGAATCTTGATGACCCTACAGGGCAGGGTAAAACCGTCCCTGTGGGTTTCCCTGTGGGTTTCCGAGCTTGTAGAAAACCCCCCTGTGGGTTTTCGGAGTCTTCGAGGCTTCCAGAAGCCTCATCTTTCTCCTGCAGAGCTTAGAGTTATCAGACCAGCATGTAACCCACTGTGCCACCAGGGATCTTGACAAGCAATGGTAAGACTTGTATAACCTTTGTGTTGCTTTAGAGGGCAGTATACTGACAGATAGCACCATCGGTCCCCTTAGCTTGTGCCCTTAACCTCACTGTGGACACTGAATGGACACAGGTGCCTGTGAGCCTACATAGCAGGTAATGCAGAAATTATAGCAATGCCTGTCCAGAGGTGGGTGTGCTTCTATGGTGTGTGTGTGTGTACGTGCACCTGTGGGTAGGTGGGCATCTGTGAGTGGGTATGCACCTAAGCCAGTGTACATTATGTGAGCAGGTGTGTGTAGTCAAGTGTGCCTCTGTGTGCAGCTCTGAGCAGCTTTGCATCTCTGGGCAGATGTGAGTGTGAGCAGGTGTAAGTCTGTGAGCAGGTGTGTCTAGGCAGGTATGTGGGCATCTGTGGACAAGTGTATGTGTGTGTTCTGTGGGCAGGTGTGCATCTGTTGTCAGATGTGTGTCTGTGGGCAGGTGCATGGCCATTGGACCGTGTTCTCCCCCAGGCAGGATCCTTCCACAGTTTCCCTCCAAGAAGGCAGCTGTGAGCTTGCTGTGTGCCCTACCCTCCATCTCCTCTTGGCACTGTGCCATGAGGCTGCTCACAGGGCTGCTCCTTTTAGGGCCCAGCTGTCCAGAAGCAGCTAAGAGGATGACCGCACCTGCCTTGTGTCAGCCCTGGGGATAGATCCTGAAGCCTGCCCAGGACCTGGGTGTACCCTGGTGCTGGCAGCAGAGTCCCTAGCATGCTCACTGCCTCTTAGTGGTGTGTCCAACAGACCGTTAGCCCCAAGTGAGGCTTTTACTGTGCTGCTCATTACAGGACCGCTAGGAACTATGTCACCGAATTGCAGTGGCTGTGGGTGGATAATACTTCACTTCAGAGCTTCCTATGAGTTTAAATTCTTCAGAAAACAAGTCCTGTGAGGTCCTCACTCTCTGGGAAAGGGTCTGCCGTACTGGGCAGGAGAGAGGTTCCCGGCCCAATTAAAACAGCAGAAACAATACAGCCAGCCTGCTGCTAGTAAGTGGGTTCTGACTCAGGACGGCCTTATGGGGCAGAGCAGAACCGCTCCTTAGGGTTTCTGGAGCTGTCAGCCTTTATGGGGGCAGACAACCTCAACTTTCTCCCACAGAGTGGCTGGTGGGTTTGAACTCCAAATCTTTCAGTTAGCAGCCACGACACCACCAGGGCTCCTCATCTGGAGTCAGACAGCACGGTGTGAGGCTTCCTCGGGTGGCCCTCAGCAGAAGGGAAGTAAGTTGGCGTGTTGCCTTAAAATGATGACATTTCCCTCAGCGTCCAGTTGCCCCAGCCTCCCCCTGCCCCCCTTCAGTCTCGGGTCACACTGGTGGCTACGCTACCTGGGAAGAGCACCTCCTTCGTGGACAAAGGCTGCTCTTGCCCGGCTGACCATGTCATCTAGTGGGGCGTCCACACACAGGACCAACCTGCTGGGGTCTCAGGCCATGAAGTCCAGGAGTACAGTGTGTGGAAAGGGTCCTCTGTCGCTGTGGACTGTCGATAGGGGCTCCAGTGAGGCTTGGGCCAGCACGCTGAAGGGCCCATCCAGACCCAGCATGGTTGGTGCTCTGGCACCAGGTCCCCTGGGCCCCGAGCCTCAGGTGGTCATCCTGCCATGATGCCCACATCCACAGCAGGAAGGACACGAGGGGGAGGTGGGACAGCTGCAAGGGAGGCTGGGGAATCCCTGCCATCCAGGCAGCAGGTCCCAGTGTTTGTGGGGGTGTAAGGTGGGTGTGGGGCAGTGGGTGCTGTTCCTGGTGCCAGCCTTCCCCAGTGGTAAAGATGCTCACTGCCTCACGGGACACTTTGAAGGCTGCCTCAGGGAACATCTGCTGGGCTGGCAAAGGATTGCATGTCAGTCGTGAGGAAACTGAGTGGACACACAGTATCCCTTCACGGTGGACACAGCCCCGCACAGGCAGCCCGCTGAGCTTTCTTGCCAAGCCCACCCAGGCATCTTGGTGTACCTCCAGGAGAAAGAGGAGGCCATTTGGGGACCCTATATGGGGTCACTCAGTTAGAATGGACTCAGAGGCAGCAAGTCTGTTGTGGGGGCCATGGCCTGACTGCTGGGCTACCCCCCCCCCTTGTCTGAGGGCGGCAGAGGACGGAGGCAGGAGGCAGAGGCAGTCCCTGGGCAGAGCCGGCAGGCAAGAAATCTGTTTCCTGGGAGTCTGCCCAACATTGCCCACTACTGGTGTCTATGGACCCAGCCGCTCATGGACGTGAGCCTTTCCCAGGGCCTGTGCTGTCCGGCCCCCTCAGGAGCTGCTTGTACTCAGAGTCTGACATCTGCAGGGGCTGCGCGCCCGCCCAGTGGCTCAGTGTGTGAAGGACTGCCCTGCCTCCCTTTGGGTTTGGGCAGGGGAGTCTTCCTGGGGCAGGTGTGTCCAGGGTTCTAGAACCTCTTTCTGGGAGGCCCAGGGGAACCTCTGGTAGGGCATGGGGTGAGGGGCTCAAGCTCCGGAGCTCCCCCCAACACACGCTGAGGAATCAGCCCGTGCCCCCTGCATTTGCTATGGGGACTCCCCACCCCGTCACATGCACTCAGAGACACACACACTGGGGACCCTGGAGATGGCTGGCCCGGCCACCTGCCAGAGCACCTGGGCAGAAGGTAACTGTCTGGTTTCCGCCCACAGCGCCTGTAGGAGTGGAGGCGGCTGGTGTCCTGATGAACAACCGGAAGGAAGACATGGAGATCCCGTCCCACTACCAGCACCTGCTGCGCGAGCTCAACGAGCAGAGGCACCACGGCGTGCTGTGCGACGCCTGCGTGGTGGTCGAGGGCAAGGTCTTCAAGGCGCACAAGAACGTGCTGCTCGGGAGCAGCCGCTACTTCAAGACGCTCTACTGCCAGGTGCAGAAGACCTCTGACCAGGCCATGGTCACCCACCTGGACATCGTCACAGCCCAGGGTTTCAAAGCCATCATCGACTTCATGTACTCGGCCCACTTGGCGCTGACCAGCAGGAACGTCATCGAGGTCATGTCCGCCGCCAGCTTCTTGCAGATGACTGACATCGTGCAGGCGTGCCATGAGTTTATCCGGGCGGCGCTGGACATCAGCGTCAAGGTCGACGCTGTGGACGAGCTGGCAGACCTGGAGGTGGGCGCGCCCCCGGGCGGCGGCGCGGATGCGCTCATCTCTGCTGTGGTGGCCGGCCGCAGCATTTCCCCTTGGCTGGCAAGGCGCACCAGCCCTGCCAACTCATCCGGCGACTCTGCCATCGCCAGCTGCCATGAGGGCGGGAGCAGCTATGGGAAGGAGGATCAGGAGCCGCGGGCTGACAGCCAGGATGACGGGTCTGCGCCACCACTGTGGCCTGGGGACATCGGCTACATGCCTCTGCGGGTCAAGGAGGAGCAGGTGTCGCCACCTCACTATGAAGGCAGCGAGCTGACAGTGGGCAAGGATGGGGCGCTGCAGGGCGCCTTTCCAGCGGAGCAGGGCGGTGCAGAAGGCTGGCCACCGGCGGGCCGCAGGAAGAATCGCAAGAACAAGGAGACTGTGCGCCACATCACGCAGCAAGTGGAGGCTGACAGCCAGGCGGACTCACCTGCGCCCTCCTACCTGCCTGCCTCGGCCTGGCCATTCAGCAGCCATGATGCAAGTAAGCCTTCGGTGGTGAACGCAGCCTGCAGTGGTGCTGCGGCGCCTGCTGAGACCCTCAGCTGCGGGCTTGGGGGTGGGATGGCAGGTGGTGGTTCTGTCTGAGAGCCTCCTGGGCCACCCCTGTCCCCAGGATGGGAAGCACTGGATGGTGCCTTCCAGGGACTGAGGCATTGGGGTATTACCACCCAAGGTTGCCAGGAGGCCCCAAAGCTAGGGGTCTGGAGAGAAGAGTGGGTGAAGCCAAGAAAGAGCTTCCGCAGCTCTGTGGAAGGGTGGGGGCAAGGCCCTGGAGTAGGGGAGGGCACAGAGGATGGGGCAAGAGTGTGAGAGGAGGGGGCAAGGAGTGGGTAGGGACTGAAGGTGTAGGGGTGAGGGGAACCAGGGTGGATGGAGGCAGGAAGGACTTGGGGGGGTGGTGGGTGATGGAGACTGGGGGAAGGGCTGGAAGGTGCAGAGCAGAGTGGACTTGCTGTTTGCATTTGAAGCCCTCCCGTAGGCACTGCACTGTGTACCACGTTTTAAAAGATTCAAACTCCAAGAACCGAAAAGTTACCGTTTCCGATGCATGTTGCATGGGTGGGTCGCCAGTGTGTGGCCCTTGGGCTGGCTCTTCCCTGCTCCAGCTCTGCCATTGGCGGCTGTCACCGGCGGCGTTGAGTGAACTCTCATGCCTAGTGGGATTGGCCTCAGGAGTGGGGGCCATGATAGCCACCGTTTCGGGGCCCCTGTGGACACTGATGCGAGAGGGTGCTCTTGGTCCACACTACAGGGTGTTATCCTTTTTCATCGGAGTCCCTGCTGGGGGCCCTGGCCTGTTTTAGGGGTGGCTCTCTGCTTGCCTGAGGCTGCTCCTCAGGCTCTTGAAAGGACATCTTGGGTCAGCCTCACAGACAGTTGGCAGTGAGCAGTGTGAAGGCAGACACTGGGCCCTGCCTCACACACATGGTCTGTCGAGGCTGGTAAGGGTGTCAGCACCTGTCCTCACAGGGGCACAGGTGTTTGCAGGGGGGAAGTGCACAGGGGTGTCTATAAGAGGAGGTGCACAGGTGTGTCTGCGGGGGAGGTGCACAGGGGTGTCTGCGGGGCTGCATGGGTGTCCACGAGGGCAGCTGTACGGGTGGGTGTCAGTGACCACTGTGCCTGCTCCTTGCATCGGTTCCAGTTAGACCTGAGAGACAGCAGTCACATGCTGCGGGACTAAGGACAAGCTGTTGGCTGTGGGATGACGTTCCGACAGAGGGGCTGAGAAGGACTTGTTGCCAGAGATTGGCACCTCCTCTCACCCATCAGGGGCAAGCTGCCACGTGTGCCCATTGCTCTGTCACGTGGTGGAGGCGCAGCACATCTGTCTCAGGAGCGCTCATCCCTGCCCGGAAGTCTTGGCTCCTGAGCTGCCCAGTGTGGACACACAGGCAAGGAGCAAAAAGTGCTTTTTAGAATCAAACAAGTGATTTAAGCTGTGCACTTTGTTAAAGTCGCACAGCCTCTGTGTTTCCAAGGCAACTGTGGAACGCTTCTGGGCGAGTTGCTAAGAAAAGGATCAGGCTGTGGTTCTCGCTCGCGTGGGCTGGTCCCTGCCCACGTGACAACGGCCACAGCCTTCACTCGCTGGCCAGGGGCGGGGCAGGCTGCAGGCCTGTGGTTCCTGACAGGGGTTGCCATCACTGGGGAGTTTGGTTTTTTTAATCATTTTATTAGGGGCTCATACAACTCTTAATCATAATCCATACAAACATCAATTGTGTAAAGCACATTTGTACATTCATTGCCCTCATTATTCTCAAAACATTTGCTGTCCACTTACGCCATTGGGGAGTTTTAATTCACTTCCAATTTACAGGAAAACGAGGTAAAAGGCTGCTTCTGAAGGAAGGTGCTGGTTGGGGCACTGCTGTGTGGACCAAAAGCATGCTGGGAGGGGCCAGCGGCTCTCCCCACCCACTCTCCTCACCACCTTCAGAGGTTTTCCAAACAGCCTCGCCCCAAGAAGTAACTTCCATTCTAATTTTCTTCTGAGTCCGAGTCCATAAGCAGCTAATTTATGTGATTGCTAGTAGGGCCCCCTCGAATGTGTAGTCATTGTAGGTGTGTGTATGTGTATGGGGGGGTGTTTGTGGGTGCGTATGTGGGGTGTATGTGGGTGTGGGGTGGGTGTGTGGGAGAGGTGGGGTGTACATAGAGGTACAGGTAGGGATGCGTGGGGCGCATAGGTGGTGGAATTCTTGCGCGACACATGGGGGACCCCAATGAGGGGGAGGGGCTGTGTCACCCCACCCATGTTCTGCACTAGCCCATCCCCTCCAGACCTTACCCCTCACTTCCTGGGATGATGCTGGGCCCAGCCAGATCACACAAGACAAGACCTCCCTCCCAATTTGATCCTGAGCGACCCAGCCCGCCTCTGGGCCAGGGAGTGGGCGTTTGGGCGTTTTCAGCTGTCTGCAAGTGGTGTCCTTGCATTGCGGTTTGGTTTCTGGCACGTGGAATCGCCGTTTCTTAGACTGCCATAGCTACAGTGATGTCGCTGACATGGTGCGGTCCGGGTGCCTGTCCTGCTCACACCTTAGGGAGAAAACATTCACACTTGAGGAACAGGAGAAAAGTAGCCCCCCACCCGCCCCCACTGTTTCCGGTGTGCCTTTTACATACTTGCCCATCTATGTTACAGCTGTCAGTACATTCCCCCAAACACTTCAGCCGGCCAATGCCCGGATGCCATGCCGGCTCGCTGCTTTCAGGTGGGATTGCACACCCGGGACAGAGCGCACCTGGAGGGCCCCTCTCCTAAGCTGCCTCACCTCAGAGAGCGTGCTCCCAGTGAAGTTCAACCCGTCCAGCCGTCACCCCTGATGCCCTGGCCCCTCTGAACCCCCGTATTCCGTGGGAACAGCACTTCAGGGGGCTCCATGCTGCCCCGGCCTCCTTCCCTCCCCGACCTTCCCTCCTCCTGCCCGCGCCCGCATGGAGAGCGCGGCGCAGATACACAGACGCCCAGCTGATTTCAAGGCATGCTCCTCCCAGTGGTGGGGGAGGGCCGCACACTAGCCAGTCCCCTCTCAGGGTCAGGCGCAGAACTTCATTTGCATTTTGTATTGACCAATCCCTGCGGGGGGCGTGCAGTTCCCGGGTCAGGCTGCAGCCCGGGGCCGGGCGCGGACGACTCTGGAGGCCACCCACAGGAGCTCTTTCCCCCAGCACCGTACGGGGGGTGGGTTTTGGTAAAGGTATGCGTGTGCCTGTGTCACCCACCTCCCACCAAGACTTCGATACCATCCATCCACCCTCATGCCCCTGGCCCCAGAGCCCACCGCCTTTCTGGTTGTCCCGTCTGCAAAGCCTCGGCTTGGGAGCCCCACCGCCCCGGGCGCGCGGGACGCACGACCTCCCTGCCGCCGCTTCGCCCCACAGCACTTTCCTGCCCTTGCGTGCTTGCTGCGTGGTCCGGCGCCGTCGGTGAGTGCACCCGCGGGGCCTGGGCGCAGGGGAAAAGTCCCGGAGCGCTGCGCACACGCCCGGTCCGCGTTCCCCTCGCTCAGCTGGGTGTTGCTGGAAGGGGCGGAGCTGCGATGTTGGCAGCTCCTTTAATCCGGCGCCCACATACACGCACACGCGCTGTGCACCCGGGTTCCAGATGCCCCGTGCTGCCATTTGGATCAGAACCAAGGCGAGTTTGAGGTACTCCCTTGGCCGCTAGCATGCCCCCTGCCCTGGCCGTGCCCTCCTCATCCACGACTGGGCTCCAGGGCAACCATCTCAGTCACAGCTAGCAGTGAAGAGCCTCCTGCAGGTGGGTGCCGTGTGCGCCCCGCCTCCCCCCCCTCCTCCCCCCGCCAGCTTACCCAGCTCCAGGATGCTGCCAGGTAACTGCACCCTGAGGGTCCTGTGTGCCTTCCCCCCAGTGGTGACCTCCTGCAACATCGGCATGGGGCTGCATCACCAAGGGGCGCAGACCTCTGGGTCTGGAGGCTGACTCCGCCCCCCAGGTTCCAGGGGAAGGGCCACCATGCTGTGGCAGCCCTGTGTCAAGCAATGGCTCCCTCCTTTGTGCTTGTCTGTCTGCTCCTCCCTGCCACCAAAGGGTGACATCCTCAAAGACCCTATTTCCAAACAAGATGGCAGTCATGGTGGCAAGAGCTAGCACATCTGTATTGGGTGGAACGGGTGTCACACACACACAGGCACTCCTGGTAGTGTGGTGGTTCCTCCTCAGACCCAGGGCAGTGGGTGGGGGGATGGCTCACAGCCGTGTCCCCACTAAGTTGTCTTTGATCCCTTGTATCACGCCCTACTTTGCAGTGAGCACCCGCTGTCTGGCCAGATGTGGGCTCTGCTGCCACCCAGTCCCACTGCTTCCCTACTTTCTGCTGAACCATTAAAGTCAGCAGCACTTTCTAAATGTCACCGCATGCCACCTACAGTGGGAGGGCCATCTTTTTCTGCCCAATGGCTCCTGTGCCCTGTGCCTGCAGGATGGGGCTGGGGGTTCCTGGTGGTCTCCTGTGCATGTGTGCAGGCAGGGTGAGCACCCCCAGCCTTAGGAATGGGACTGAGAATGGTGCCCACGCTCTGCCCATGGTCTGAGCCTGTGTGGGTCCCAGGCAGCACCAGGTGGACTGGCAGAACGTCCTGGGGACATTTAGGGCCTTTTCTCCTCCTGCGCACTCACTGGCTCAGAGAGCCTGGGTCTGAAATGCCAGAGGAGCACTCTCAGCCCTGGTTCCTCCTTGAAGTTCACTTACCTTCCTGTGTTTCTCCAAGAACAAACTAGAAGTGATCAGTCAGGGGCATGGGGCTCCCCCAGCCCCTATGTGTCCTCTTCTCCGCATTCATGTCTCCCCCGGCCTCCCAGTTCTGCCCAGGGGCCTGCCGAGTGTGACCTTGCTTCCTCCTGATCAGGCCCAGGGTCTGCCTTGGGGCACAACAGGCTCACATCACCCCCACCCACCCACCCCTGGAGCTGAGGCTCCAGTGTCCTGTAGGACAGCAGTTTCTCTTTGTCCTTAGTGATCTGTGGAGAGCAGGGGAGCTCATGCGCCCGCCCCGTGGGTCCCATGGGCATTCCTGGCTGTCCTGGTTCTCAGGGGCGGACAGGGGTGGTCTGACAGGCGCCACCCACACTGACTGGGGCATTTTTGTACGCTTTTGACCATCTGCCTACTCAAGACCTTAGAGCAGCAGTTCTGAACCTGTGGGCGCCGCCCTTTTGGGGGTCGGGTCCAGTGACCCTTTCACAGGGGTTGCCTGATTCATAACAGTAGCAAAATTACAGTGATGAAGTAGCAATGAAATAACTTATGGTTGGGGGGTCACCACAACATGAGGGTTGCGCCATGAGGAAGGTTGAGAACCACTGTCTTAGAACTTTCAGACCTGTGTTGTCATTAAAAAAAACAACAAGCAAAAAAAAACCCCAAACAAACCAGCAAGCGTTTTATTGTGATTTGGGGAAGGTCTGCCAAGCAGATCAGTTCTCCATTCAGCAATTTGGGCACCTTTTGTTTCGTGCCCTAGACTGCAGTCCCCACGATGCCCGCTGTCCCTCCTCCACGTTCCCCGGCCCCCACTACTGTTTCCTGATCCACACCTCCCCCTTCCTTCTCTCTTCTGGACCTCGCCCTGGGGTCGGGGTTGCCCTTTGATCTCAAATGGTTGGTGGCTGTAAGGAGTGCGTGGGTCCCCACGCCACTGTTCCCCTTACAGAGCCCTCTCAAGTCGAGCTGAAGAGTGAGCCAAAGGGGTGTTAGGTCCACACCTGAAGGCCATGGTGTCAGGGGCCCCATTGGTCTCTGTCTGACCAATAAGCTGGGAATCTGTTATGGTTCTGACGTTTGTTCTGCACATTTCCACTGTATCCAGGACCTTTCATGTGATTCCTTTCAAAGCAGCAGGGAGTGGTGGCCAGACACCATGTAGTTCTTCTGGTCTCTGGATGTTGGGGACTGACGTTTAAGTGGCTCACCGGGTCCCTGGACGCGTTATTTCCATGTGTCCCCATCTGTGCTCTGGGCGGAGAGTGACCAAGGGTGCCTTTAGATGGCCACCGGCTCAGAGCCTTTATATGCGAGTTGCTGCTTCACCACAACAGGTGAGGTGCATTGGCTGTGGGAGGTGTTGGGCCGACTGCCCTTGGGGTCTCTATTTGTCATTGTTGTTGAATTTTTTTTTTGTTGTTGTTGAATTTTTAAATCATTTTATTGGGGGCTCTGTCAGCTCTGTCATCCATAAATACATCCATTTTGCCAAGCACATTGTACATATCATCATTTTCAAAACATTTTCTTTTGATTTGAGCCTTTGGTATCAGCTCATTTTCCACTCCCCCCTATTTGTCATCTTCTTATAGAGTTGTAAGAATCTTTCAAAGGTTCTTTATATGCGATGTGTCTAGGGGCATACAAGTGTGGGGTGCACATAGGTCTTTCTATGGAGGGAGGTATATGAGTGTGACTTTAGGGGGACACACGTGTGTCTGTGAGAGGGAGTACACAGGACTTTCGGTGAAGGGAAGTGTACAGGTATGTCTTTGGGGGTAACAGGCATGAGGTAACTAGGTGTGTGTGAGAGGGAGGTGTGCAGGTGTATCTTTGGGGGGCACACAGGCATAGGAGTACACACAGGTGTGTCTCTGAGAGGGGTACAGAGGTGTTTCTGTGAAGAGAAGTATACAGGTGTGACTTTAGAGGGCACATGGGTACAAAGGTACAAATCGGTGTGTCTGTGAAGGGACGTGTACAAGTGTGCCTGTGGGTGACACCCAGGTGCAGGGGTGCACACAGGGATATGTGTGAGACTAAGGTGTGCATGTGTGTTTTGGGGTCACACAGGTGTGGAGTAAACAGGTGCATCTATGAAAGGGAGGTGTGTCTTTGGGGGGCACACAGATGTGGGGTAAACAGGTGTGTCTGTGAAAGGGAGGTGTGTCTTTGGGGAGGGCACACAGATGCAGGGTGTGCAGAGGTGGGTTTGCCAGGGGAGTTCACAGGTTTCTCCAAGGAGAGACCCATGGGTGTCCACTCATATTTTCGCTCACTCTGTGGCATCTCTTCCCCGTCTTGAAGGAGTCCGCAGAAGGTAGAAGCCCCTGGGTCTGATGGTGGCCAGTGGCCTGCCTTCATTGTGGTTTTGTGTCCCACGTGGGAGCCCACTGCCATGTCCAAGGTCAGGAGGAGCCACCCTGATTCTTTGTAAGAGTCCGTGGGGTTCACATCTCGGTCTCTGGTCCTCTCTGAGAGACGGAGGAGCTATAGCAGCCCCCAGCTGGGAGCCTGGTGGGGCCTGGCACCAAAGCCAGGCTGGCAGTCAGGGCCTAGTGGTCCCAAACAAGCTGCCAGCCGAGCAGCGCGGCCTGGCTCCTCTCGGATTTGCCGTGTTTCCTGGGTGTCCGGAGGTAACCTTTGTGTTTTCTGTGCCCCCAGATGCTGACCTGACCCTGACTGAGGCCAGCAGCTTCGACAGCCGCGGCGAGAGGCCCGAGCTGTCCACACACGCCGATGAGGGCCTGCTGGGTGGGGAGGCTGGCTACTTGGGCGCGCCCCTGACCCCAGAGCAGGATGACCGGCTGCACCAGGCTGCTGCCGTGGCCAACCTGCGGGCGGCGCTCATGAGCAAGAACAGCCTGCTGTCCCTCAAGGCGGACGTGATGGGCGAGGACAGCTCCCTGCTTTTCGAGTACCTGCCCAAGGGCACACACTCCTTGTCTCGTAAGTCCCGGGTCCCCAGAAGCTGTTTGGTTCCACAAGCGTCTCACTGGCTGGTTCTGAGGCTGGAGGGGATGCAGTGGTTGGGGTCCACGTGGGAGTGGACCACCCTTCCCAGAGCCACCAAAGAGTCGGACTTCCTCAGGCCACCTTGCTGGCCTTTGGGACCAAGCTGTCCACCTCACCTGGAGGGAGGACAGGTCTGCTGCTCCAAGTGCCACGCCAGGGCGCCCTCTGCTGGCCACTCAGAGCAGGGCCCTCCCTGCTTAGCTAGTCAGGCAGTGTCCCCTGGAAGCCTGACTGGCCAGCTGGGCAGGGGCAGGGTTGACACCCAGGCTTGCTGTTGGGCACAAATCTGATCCAGGAGATACCAGCCACCCTCCTGTGATGAGGCATCAGGGGGAGCTCCCTGTGCCAGGCCCTGAGGGTCCATGCCAGATAGGCTGGCCATGTGGGGCAGGTGGCTGGCTCAGCTAAGCTTTGTTTGGTCAGTGGTCAGCCGGGTGGGAGCGAGACAAGGGCAACTGCTGCCCTGGGCATGCGGGGATGTGGTCCAAGACCTGGGAATGGGCTGTGAGAGGCCCTCCTGTGCAGCCTGGTGCCCCCAGTAGGTCTGCGTTGCAGTAACAATGCCTTTGCAACCTTGTTTCCATGGCTGATAAAGTACAGAGTGAGAGCAGGTGTGCTCCGTGCTGGGCCAGCAGTGGGCAGGTGGCTGTGGCCAACCCTCCTGACTGTCTGGAATTTAGCAGCCAATCAACATGGTTGGTTAGGACTTAAACCCTTGTTAGGTCTCACAGTCCATCACATTTGAAGAACAGGGTATGGTCATTTACACCTTTGTTTGGATTTGAAACACAGTGTAATTTGGAAAGCATGGTTCCGCAGGCCCATCAGGATGCTCCTGGCCTCCCCGCAGTCCCCACCCCTGGCTGGACTGAACAGAGGACATGGCTGAATGGGGCGATTCTAGGACTGAAAGGTGGTTCCAGGGTGCCTGGACATCTGGGACCTGTTTGTGGTGGACACACAGTCACTGCTGGGCAGATTGGGGAAATGGCTCACTTACTGGGGACCAGCACAACTGCACACGTGGAGGGGAAGGGGCTAGAGGCTCTTGGCCGAGCAGCAAAGTGAGAGTGGGCACCTGGCTTCCCTCACGCCTGACTTCTGGGCTCCTGCCAGGACCTGTGTGCTTTCTAAACCCAACACCAGGCCCCCTGGGCATCTGAACTGAGTACACAGGCCTCCTGGGTGTGTCCCCACTTGGTACACAGGCCTTGAGTACACAGGGCCCCTGGGCGTGTCCCCCCTGAGTACAAGTACCCTCCAGCATGCAGGCCGCCTGGACATACTCTAGCCCCTGGGTTTCTTGGCTCACAGAGATGGAGGGAGCCCGATGTGAAGTTCCTCTGAGGCCAGGGGTCAGTGTGACAGACTTTCTGGAAAACCATCTCAGGAGTCTTCCTATTTCTCCATTTCTATTACGTTTCAATCTCCTAGTTTTAAGGTTCTAAATGTTCCACTTTTTTTGTCGGAATCGGCCCTTTCATGGTCCATAAGTAGCGTCTGGAGTTGCAGTGTCCTCCAAGGGCCTGCATGGGGTGGGCAAGCTGAGCAAGGGTAGGGGGTGTGTGTCCACATGGCTGTGCAAGGTGTGGGGGGAGGTGCAAGGTGTGGGGGGAGGGCAGATGCACAGGCATTCCCCCCACTGAGGGCAATCAGCTGCCAGGCTGCTGTCTCATCCCGCCACAGGGGTGGGCCTGCTCCCTGCCTCTGGGGACAATGGACAGGCTCCTGTAGGCGGAGTTTTCATCCTACTGATAATGGTTCCTATGGAGACCCAGAGACCAACCCCTAGACCACCCACTCGTTGCTGTGTAACCTATAGAGCAGCCCCTCCCTGTGACATATGTCTCTACCTGTAATTAGTGGGCTAGCTTGCCCCCAAAAGGTATATAGGTGTGAGTCAGCAATATAGATCTCTCTCTGGTTCTGAGCTCCTTGCTGCTCACTCCCTGGTCACTCCCCTCTCCCTTGTTCCCTTCCCCCTCTCTCCACGTGGACCACCAAACTGGGCTGAGTTGAGCAATGCTACCCTGTAATATGTCTGACTGTATTATTGTAATATCTCTCATGCTCTTGATGACTTTAATATAATACTTATATATCTCAACCGTACAATTGTGCATTACTGAATCCGAGTAGTAGTAATAGGAGTATTAGCGGTGGGGGCTGGCCCCCCACCTCCCTCAGCGTCATTTTAATTTAATACTACAGCAAGGGTCGTGTGTGTGTGTGTGTGTGTGTCCACATGGCCAAGCAAGGGCAGGGTGTTTGTCCAGATGGCCGTGCAAGGGCAAGGTGTGTGTGTGTGTCCAGATGGCCATGCAAGGACAGGGGGTGGGGTATGTGTCCAGATGCCCATCTGTGGGGGAAGCTGGAAGGCTGGGCACATCACCCCTTACTTGCCTGCTTGTCATCTTTCACCTATGACTTCCTGGGGTGAGAGGTCACCAGAGCGTCCACTCGGATGAGTCCCAAGGCTGCCTTGTACCCTCTACTGCACCCTTGTTGAGCCCCGGAGCTGCACTTGTCCAGGACTTGGTCCCTCATCTTCTCCAGGCCTTGCTGCAGTGTCACAAGGCTTGGGTCAGGGTGCTGGCTGTGTTGTGGTCTGTGGGACATGCACCCTGTAGGTGCAGGGCAGGACCCTGGACAGGAGGCTGACCCCTGCTGGCAGCAGTGTGGTGAGGGGTGCACAGGACTGTGTCCCTGAGTGTGGAGTCTTTGGCCATAGGAATAATTGTAATGTAGGCTGCGGGCACGGCTTTCTGCATCAAGAGAGCCATCAAGTGCAGGGGCAGTGCAGGAGCAGTTCAACACCAAGGTCCTTTCTGGATGGTTCTCGAAACCAAAGCAGTTTCCTTCTTTTCATAGGGTTGATGACTTTGGTCAGGCTGTGAAATTTACAGGCGGTGGTTTTGTTGCCAGGTTATCACTCTTACTAGCGAGGACTGTTTGTACTTTGCATTTTGGTTCATTTGAACTTAATTCTTGATCGTCTTGGGTAACTTTTCCATGGTGGGCTGAGGCTTTCTGCCAGTCACAGGTACCATGGGAAGCATCATTTTTGTGTTACAGTTGACTCTATCTTTCAAAGTGTGTGTGTGTATGTGTGTGTGTGTGTGTGTATTTCTGGAGGACCTGTGACTAATGCCTGTGGGACCTATGACAGAGGGGTGTGTGGGGGGATACGGGACAGAGTGGTGTTTGTGTTCTTTCCTGTGAGACCCTTGGCAGTGTTGTATGTGCATGTTCATTCCCTTAAGACCTGTGTCAGACGTGGATGCGTGTGTGCACATGCACACACGCACATACACTCTTGTGGAACCTGTGGTCCCGCAGGCTGAACTCTCGGGCATGGACAGGGCTAGAAGAGCTGCCAGGAGCCTGCCCAACCTGGGCGCCGTGAATCCCATGGTGATAATGGACAGAGCTCTTGCTCTCTTGCGCGCGCGCGTGTGCGCGCGCCCGCAGTACCCCCTGGGCATAGTGCTGGGCCCGCCCAGCGTGCCCCTCTTCAGTCACTTTCTTTGTTTCAAGATCACAGTGCCTGTGGAGCAGCTCAGCGCAGACGGGGGTCTCCTTCCCACCCATGGGCGTGCGTCAGCTGACAACCGCCGGCTTGTTTGAGGGAGCACACGCCCGAGCAGGGGCCGAGGGGGCTGCCACGCCGTGTAGGGTGGGCCTGGGAATACTTCTGACCAGGTGGCCTCGTTCACACGTACTAAAAACGTAGTTGGAACAAAACCTCTCCGAGCCATGGTTCCCGATCTCAACATCCGCTCCCCACCTTGGGACGGAGAAGCGCCGCCCCAGCGCGTCCTAGCCGGTAATCGTCCCTGCGGGTCGCCAGCCCTTTTCTCAGCGCGCGGCGGCTGGCCGTCCCGCCCGCTCCACGCCGTTGTGCGGCTGCGCGCGGCGCCAACCCACCGAGCAGGGCGGCCCCTAGGGCGCTGCAGTGTCCCTTTCGCTCTGGGCCCACCAAGAGCCAAGCTCGTACTCTGGAGCTGGTGTGCGCCTGCGCTGGGGGTTGGGGGCTGGGGCGGGGTGTGTACATAGGAGCTGAGGGTTGGGGTCGAGGGGGGGTGTACACAGAGTGGGGTGGGGATGCAGCGGCGAGTCGGGGCAAGCCTGTGGCCTTTGTCTTGCAGTGAACGAATTCACGGTGATCAGGAAGAAGTTCAAGTGCCCGTACTGCAGCTTCTCGGCCATGCATCAGTGCATCCTGAAGCGGCACATGCGCTCCCACACGGGCGAGCGGCCTTACCCCTGCGAGATCTGCGGCAAGAAGTTCACGAGGCGGGAGCACATGAAGCGGCACACGCTGGTGAGCGGGAGGCAATGACGAAGATCCGAGTGTGCAAACCCCTGTGTGCTTAAGTGCGCAGGTGTAGGTGTGCACACCAGTGTGTGCTGAATGTGTGTGCATAGATGTGTGTTCACTTTAAGTCTGTGTGCCCCTGTGCCATGCGTGCATCGAGGTGTGTCTGTGGGTGCATACCACTTTGTGCATGTGTGTGTGCAGTGGGGTGTGTCTGTGTCCATACACATGTGTCTGCACATTGGTGTGTGTGTGTGCATTCACTGTGTGTGCATGTTCATGTGCTCGTGTGTGCAGTGAGGTGTGTCTGTGTGCCCAAAATGAGTGTGCACACATGTGCATGCACTGGGGGGGTGTCTGCGTGTACATACACGTGTGTTGTATGTGTACACAGGTGTGCATTTGCATACACTTGCCACACAGGGCCCTGGGGAAGGCTGGCGACAGTCACGCCCCCCCTACTCCTGGCAGTCCGATGGTGCCTGGTTTCCCTCCCCATCTGGACTTCCTGTCTCCTTGTGCCCCTTGGCCCCTCCTGTGCCTGGTCTCGCCCCTGCACCCCAGCCCCCTCTTGCTCCACAGCCACTGTCTCTGTTTCTCTCACCAGCCTGGCCTGGTCCGGCACATTCTACTTCCACACCAAGCCCATCACCGGGTAGGGCTGGCAGAGCCCTGAGGAGTGGGTCTGCTTGGCCAGGAGAGGACATTGCTGGGTCTCGGATAGGATCACCTCCAGGGGTGCAGGGCCCCTGGGAGGACGGCCTCCGCTGAGGAGCCACCCAAGGTTTGCCAAGTATGGGGGTAGGCACAGATGACTGCAGGCCCCAGGGAGCATAGCTGGAATATGCTGGGGGGTGGCTGGCAGGTGGGCTTGTTAGGCTCTCCTGTTGGGGGAGGAGGTGGTCTGTATGGACTGAAGGGCACTCCTGCCACGTTCTCAAGGGAGGGGTCCCTAGGGCTCTGAACAGGGCGAGAGGCAGGCCCCTGAAATGGTGGGGATGTGGTCGCCAGGTCCCTGAGAGGAGGCAGGGGTCCCAGGCCCTGGAGAGGGGCGTCAGAGATCCCCAGGTTTCTGAGAAGGGTGTGGGTCCCTGAGAGGAGGTAGTTGTCTCTGAGAGACATGTAGGGGTCCCAAGGTTCCTGAGAGGAGGTTTGGGGACCTCTAGACCTCTGGCTAGGGCAAGCAGGCACCCGACAAAGGTTCTGAGGGGTTGGTTCCCTTGCCCTTTCAGTCTTTCCATGTCCTGTCTGCTGATCCGTTGGCTTCTGCCAAGGTGGATGAGGGGAGCCTGGCTGGGGCAGAGGAGGAAATTTTGGCTGCCAAAGAGAAAAATGAAGCGCTTCCTTCTGCAAATGCAGAGGGTTTGCATGCCTGAGGCGCGGAGCCCCGTACCTGGGAGTCACTGGGCAGGCAGGCGGGCAGCCAGTCGGCTTCATGGCACAAGTCGGCTTCATTTGAACGAGTGAGCCCGGGACCGTTCGCCAGAGAGACTCGGCAGCGTGGTGGCTGCCGCCTGCCGCGCAGTCTGGCCCACGTGACACCCCCACCCCCACCCCCACCCCCCTCACAGGCGAGCTACCCAGGGGCGTGCTTTCCTGGGGCCATCTCTCTTGAGGAGCTCTTGTGGTTTTGAACCAAGGCCTGGCGGTCACAGCCAAGCACCTGGCCACCGTGCCCCAAGGCTCCTGGGTAAGAAGAACTAGAGGGGCATGTGCCGCACACCTGCTCAGGGTCAAGATTGCTTGTACACTAGGCCATGGATCCCGGCTGCCTGCACTGTGGCCAAGTGCGTAGTAAATAAAATCTGCGTCGCGCGCCATTTCTGTGTGTACAGCCCAAGGACATAGTGTGTGCAGTGGTCCCCACTCAGCCGCCTGGCTGGATATCTACGGTCATAGGACCCCACGTTCCGGGGGCGTGGCGTGGGCGTGGCGCTTGGGGGCGGGGCACCAGCGAGGGCGGGGCGTTCTGCTGTGTGCACAGCCAGCAAGGGCCACCTCCTGTTTCCCATTGCCTGCGGGCACCGGTGGCCGCTCTGGCCTCTTCTGCGGGCCTGGGCCTGGCACTTGGAGTCGTCCACGCGCATGCGCCTCTCTGCTCTCTTCTCGGAGTGGGGTCCTCTCTGCAGCCCGGGCCCCTGATGTTCCCTGGGGGGGAGAAGAGCCGGCTGCCAAGCTATGCCCCGCCCACGTTCCTGACCCTCAGGGCTGATTCAGTGGTTGCCATGGCACCAGCATCCTTCCTGCTCTCTCCTCCTGGCGCGCAAGTCCGTTCAGAAGCATGCCCAGCCATCTGGTCCGAGCCAGATGCCTCAGTGTCCCAGCGCAGACCCCACTCCCCACTCAGCCCCTCCCACCAGGCCTGGACACCGCGGCTCCTCATAACCCTCACGGTGCTGGCTGGTTCCCCTCAGTGTAGCCTGGCTGTGTTCAGTCTCCAGTTTTTTTCTTCTGTTGGGGGAGGGAGCAGCCTCATGAAGGTGGGTGTCACCTAGGGCGGTGACTCATAATGTCCCTCCCCCCCACAGAGCCCTCAGTAATGTGGGATCAATTCTAACCTTGATTCAAGAGCTGTCCACTGCTTAGATGAGGTATGTTACGGGTTACGTGCACACTGACAAGGGGCTGTGTTGGAAAATCTTTCCTCATCGGACCACAGCCTTTTCAGCCAGGCACCATGTGCCCTGGGTGGGAAGAAGAAGAAAGCACTTCACACGCCCCCTCTTCCTTTCCCCGGCTCTGCTGGGCTCTGGGGACGTGCTGGGCAGCGAAGGCTGGCCTCGCTGTCGTCCTGGCTCAGGTTGGGTGACTTTGCAGTGACCCTGCTTCCAGGGAGGGGCCTGAGGGGTCAGGAGGGGTGCTCGGGGCCCTCCCTGGCTACCTACTGTGCCCGCCCCCCTCCCCTGTCTCTACAGGTGCACAGCAAAGACAAGAAGTACGTGTGCAAGGTGTGCAGCCGGGTGTTCATGTCAGCGGCCAGCGTGGGCATCAAGCATGGCTCTCGGCGCCATGGTGTGTGTGCAGACTGTGTGGGCCGAGGAGTGGTTGGGGCCCTGGACCACGGTGGCGGTGAGGGCTCGCCGGATGCACTGTTCCCCAGTGAAGGGCCCTACCTGGAGGATGCCGACGACCCCCGTGGGGATGGAGAGGAAGAGCCAGATGAAGATGGGGGCCTGGCCCCCGAGGAGGACGTGCTGCTGGGGGACGACAAGGATGATGTGGACTCACTCCGCAGCCCACCAGGGGATCCCGAAGACTTGGCCTGGGTTTCTTAGGCAGGGCAGCAGGTCCTCAGCCCTCCTGCCGCCCTCAGGCACCCGCAGACAGTGGGCAGGGCTGCTCTGTGGGAGGGAGGTGTGGCCACTTTAAGCAAAGGGGAGTGTGAGTGCTCGCCAGTGCCTCACACCTGCCTGTCTGTTGTTCCTCTGTCCACTGGGACAGAAGGGAGCCCCTAGCAGGTAGGTGGCCTTTCTGCTTTCCTCTCGGGATTTTGCAAAGAGGCTGGGGCCTACCCAGGGCTGGCAGGTTCCAGGGAGTGTTTTGCACAGCTGAGAGCACAGTGGATCCGCCCCATCCTCTTGCCCTCGGCAGCCTAGGGTCCACGGTTCAAACCCATGGACGGTCCTGGCAAAGGGCAACTAGAGACCCTCAGCCTCTGGTGCTCACAGATCACTGCAGACTGGCTTCTCGGTGCTATAGTCTGTCCGCAGAAGCCACCACCCACCCTGACTGCTGCTCCCTCCAGGCTCTGCAGCGGCCTCTCGGAGGCCAGCACCCCTTCCAGAGCCTTCCTGCCAGCCTCACCCCCATGGCTCTGGCCAGCTGCCGGAGGAACCCATAGCCGCCGTGGTGGTGCCCGGCCATTGGGGTTATCCATGCTGCCCACAGCCATTGTGAACTGGCCACTGGCTCCTGCCTTGTTGCTGCTACCTGAAGCTGCTCCCCTCCCCACGGTCACGTAGTGGTGTCAACGTGATGAGGTCATATCGTGGGCCCTGCTCTCCCTGACTAGCATGCCAAGTGGCTGCCCTACAGCCTGTCGTCTGCTGCCCCTCTGGCTGCATTTGCCCATTTCCAAGAATGATGCCCGAGAGCCATTGCCCTCTTTCCTAAGCAGAAAGTCAAGACTCCACCCTGTGCCCTGGTGCCAGCAGTCCCCTGCCGTGAGTACCTGGGCAAGGCTGCTGACAGAGTCCCTGTGCAGGACGGACCCTCAGATGGGTCCTGCCCTTCCTGCTGGCTGTCTGTCTCTGAGACACAGCCTTCTTGCCTGGTGCCCAGCAAGCCTGCACCGGCAGCTGTGGTCCTGGGGGGTGCCCTGGGCTAACATGCTGTGTCCCCAGGTCACCTGAGCAGGGGTCTCGGGGACTGTGTGAAATGCCCAGCGGGGGCAGTGCCATTGGCTTCTCTCCCTGCAGACTGTACATCACCTTGTTTGTGATGATCTCATCACAGCATTGCCGCTGTCCTTACATGGGGAGCCACCACAAGCTTCCTTTTGAAAATCAGTGAACGTTCCTGCCAGCAGCGAGATGCCCTTTGCAGAGCTAGGCTTGTCTGCACCAGGCCCCTCAGCTGTGTCCTTAGTGAGGGGCCTACTTGCTTAACCATGTGGTTGCCTGTCCCCTTGGACCAAGGCCCCCCCCCCCCGCCCTCTCCCAGCCTTTTAAACCTCTTTTCTAGACCGACTCATTTTCTTACACAATGCACTTGGCAACTGGCCTTTGTACCAACAAGTATGTCCTGGTACCATCTGGTGTCCAGTTCCCGCCTTGGCCGCCCACCTCCCGAGAAGGGCACTTTGCCCCCACACTCAGGGCATCTCACTGGCCACTGCCCCCTCTGGACCACCCTCCCTGCCTTTTGGGGGCCTGCTGCTGGTGCCACAGGTGGTCTTGTTCCTTAAAACCAACACTGAATACTGTTCCAGGAGGTCAAGGGTCCCAGGCCCCTCCCACCAACTCCCAGTTGCAGGTCCCCAATTCCTCTTCCCGCTAAGAGTGGTGTATCCAGGACCAAGGTGGACACCTCTCTTAAGAGGCAGGGGTGGAGGGGGGGGGGGTGGACACAAAATGAAGGTTGGTTTTTTTTTTAACGTGACTTTTTTTTAAATCAATGTTAAACGAATAAATATTTTTTTACGAAGAGGAAATTGTGTAGCTGACATGTCACGTTTTGTGTTTTTTAGTTTGTCTTTGCATTGTGGTGTCTGCAGTGTGTTGGAAGGTGTGCGTCGGGGCGGGTCCCCCCTGGGCTTTGCCCGAAGCACTAGGGGCCTGGGGGGAGATGGTGCGAGGCTGCCCGCAAAAGGGGTCTGGCCTCCAGAGACACCGGCAGTTCTCCCCCTTGCTCACCTTCCTTCTCTACGGGAACGGCAGAAACGGCTGGGATTGTTTTGGATGCCGAGACCCCATGGCCACGCTGTGACCGGTGCAGCTCGTGAGAAGCCAGACCCTGGTGACTTTCAGGCGCCCTCAGTTGTGTTCCGCGCCCTGGTGTCTAGAACGACTTGTAATGAATGCCGTTCGTGCTTTTCCTAAGTAGTTACTTTTCAACCCTCGCAAAGCTGTCAACAAAACAGGTAAAGGGGGTGGGGCAGTGTTTGAAGATTGTTGATTTTTTCCCCGGGAATCATAACTTTATATGAATTATTATCAACCTGTGTTTGTATTGGAGACGTGTTTAATTATTTGGGGGTGAGAGCTTCAGATACCAGGCGGGGGGTGGGGGCAAGCCTGCTCTCCCACTTCTCTGTAACCACAGGGCAAGTCCCTGACTCCTTCCTGGTCATGGGGCTCCAGGCCTGAGTCTGGCTTGTGGGCCTCTTTACTGTGACAGAACAGCTTAGCATTCTTGCAAAAGCGACCATTGTCAATAAACCGGGAAATTGCTGCTCAAAGTCCCGCCTGTGTGTGTGTCACAGCCCAGCAGGTGCCTGAGGGGCCCCGGAAGACAAGTGGGTTCAGGTACCTTCCCACCAGGAGGCCAACTGGATTTCTGGAAAAACCCCAAATCTTTAATTCTGCTCCTCCCTGGTATGGCCCAGGGGGGCCCAGGAGCTTAGGGACATAGTACACATGCTACCCTGGGGCCCTCAGACCCTTGTGGTAAGTGCAGTGACCCCTCCCTAAGCACCCCTCAAAGTGCATAGAAGGCTGGGAGGGCACAGCCTGGGACCCCCACCAGCATCCTGGCAGCTCCAGGGCCCACAGGCAGGGGGGCCGCCATGGGGGCCCTGCAGCAAGGGGATGATGTGCAGCTTTTAGTGCAAAAGGCTGGTTTCTTCAGAGGCACTTTGGGTGCTGGGAATGCCCCCTCCCCCACCCCAACACACACACACTTCTGAGGCCCAGGATCTCCGACTGCCCCAGAAGACCAGGCAGTGTGCCCTGGAGGTGGGGCGGGGCTCAGTCCAGGAAACGCTGACAGGCCTTCTTCCAGCGGCAGGCCACGCACCAGAGCTCGCGGCGCTCTGTTCCATACACCTTACGGCATTTCTTGGCGTCCCCACGGGGTTTCCTGTGGGCACCAGGGAGCAGAGGGGGCGCTGTAGGACCGGCCACTTCTCACCTGACTCCTGACTGGCCCCTACGCACACACGCACCTGGGGTTGACAGAGAGCTTGGAGGGCAGGGCTGGCGGGAAGCAGGCACTGGCCGCGGGCCCCTGCGGCTCCAGGTGGACATGATCTGGGCGGCCCTGGGGGGAAACACAGCTGAGGCCTCGCTCCCCCACAGAGCCAGCGCCCCATACCCATTCCAGCCTCCCACTCTGCCCTCACGCACCTGGTAGGCTCGGCCGCTGTGGATAGGGCACACCTGCCCCACCGGGCTCAGCAGAGGGGGCGGGGCCGAGGGCTCTGGCAGCTCCAGGCAGGGGAAGGCGGGCGGCACAGAGGCCGTGGGGGACACAGGGGTGAGGCTGGACAGCCCATCGGCCAACGCGTCCAGGCCAATGTCAAGCTCTGTGTAGTAAAAGTCCTCCTCGCCATCGCTCTGCTCCGGCTCAGCCTGGCGCCTGGGGACACAGGGGAACTGAGAGGAGGCCCCGCCCCGCCCCGCCCCTCGCGGCCCCGCCCCTCGCGACCCGCACTCCGCACCCCAGGTGCACCACACGGATGTGACGCTGCATCCCGGAGGCCGAGCTCAGCACCTTCCCACAGCTCTTCCACAGACACTGGAACATCACCTGGGCCGAGTTCTGGGGCACAGAGGCTGGCAGTCAGGCCAGGCGCTGGCGCCCGCGTCTCCCGACCACCCTCCTCTCCCCCCTCCCCCCTCCCCGCGGTCCCCAAGCCCACCTTCCTTTTCCTAGGGGCAGGTTCCCCGAACAGGAAGTGAGCTGCCTCAAGGGGCAGTGGGGGCGATGGGGTGGACGGGGTGGACGGGCAGCTGGCCAGGTCCCAGTCTCCGCCGTAGCTGCCCGGCAGCCGTCCCAAGGCCTGCCAAGGCTCCGGGCCAGGCTCTGTGGGGACAGCCGGTCAGGGCTCTCCCAGGGGCCTCCTGCCTCCCTCTGGGCATCTCAGCTCAGTAGGCAAAGCAGCGGGGCGGGTGGTTGGAGGGGTACCCAGCCCCGTGCGTCCTGTAGTACCCCAGATGCTGAGGCTCTGCTCTTAGGGGTCAGCAGTCATGAGGCCTGCCCCTCCACCGCCCCTGAACACCACTGCAGTCTCACCTGAGCTGAAGACTGCAGCTGGGACGCCCAGCAGGAGCGGGCTGGTGGACAGGCTTGTGAGGGCCGCTGCGGCCATGACCTCGTCCAGCCTCTCTCTTCCTGTAGGGCCTCTGTGGGGTTCGGGCAAGGCGCTGTCAGGGACCCAGCAGGTACTCCTGGCACCTCCCTGATGGTCATTTGCAAGCACACACACACTGGTGCGTGCACGTGCAGGCCTGGGCACGTGTGTGTGCCCAGGCTCCTTCACTCCTGGCAGCTGGGCAGGAGGCCCAGCTCCACCCCTGCTTTGGCTGCAGAGCCTCGAGCCACCACTTGCTAGCGAGCGCTGTCATAGACAGGGCAGGGATTGGGGTCCTGGCACCTAGGCTCTGAATTTGGTGGCTCCTGAGGCCTGGTACTGGGAAGGGAGTCTGAGCCCCTCCCTGGGGGTAGGTCTGGCACTGTGTTCACAGGTGCATTGCCAGAACACAGTAGCCAAGGTTCTGGCAATGCTACTGTGAACACAAGGCCCCGCGAGCCCTGGCGGTCCCAGATGCCAGCGACTAGAGCCAGTGGCTCAGCCGCGGCCTGCCCCGGGACTGAGTGCCCAAGGGTCCAGGGCTAGGTTGAAAGTGCGACAAAAGCCTGCGAGATTCCCGGGCAGGCCGCTCAGCCCCTCACCCCCAACTAAGACGGCCACCCACTCACCCACCAACTCTGCCCTACCCAGGGGACTGGACCACCGGGAACCCGGTTATCTTTTGCGCTCAATTCCCCCCATTGCTGTAAAAGTGCTGGGCTGCAGAAGCCCAGCTTAGACTCCGATGCACGCCTCACCGAGGGCCTCCACGGCTCGCGCCCCACCCACCTGCACTGCAAGCCTCCGCACACGTGTGCGCACACCCCCCTGGAGCCCGCAGCCACGGCCCTTGGCTCACCTTTGCGTGGGCACCGGGATGTGTGCCGACTGGGGCCCCGGCGCCACCCCCACCCAGCTCCCCGCGCCCCACGGGTCCGAGGCCCGTGGCGTCCTGGGCAGCGCCAACTTCAGGTCCGAGAAGCCGTCGTTCACAGCGGGCCCCTGCGGACGGGATGGGCTCAGGGAGGCGGCGGGCTGGGCCCACCACCCTATGTGAACTCCTAATCGGCTGCGGCCGGTGTAAAGCGCACCGGGAGGAGGCAGTCCCTGGCCGCCCGGATCCGACGGACACACGGACACGCGGACGGCCCGGCCCCCGCCCGCCCCGCCCCCCGGAGCCCGAAGTTTGCGCGGCTCCGACGCCATCTTTACAGTTAAGAGAACTTGGTCAGCGGCCGGGCCCCTGCCCCGTGGGGCTGACAGCGCTCCCGGAGCGCAGGCCGGCTCGGTACCTGCGGTGGCGTCGCAGGCCGTGTCCCGGCCACAGCGATCGAGCCCGGCCCCTCCAGCGGTAGCCTCGGCGCCTCGTCCCGCCGTGAAGCAGGGCCCGAGAGGGCTGCAAGGGCC